ACATTAAGTATGATGACAAACAACTGAAAACAACCATATCTACTTTTTGTGAACTATAAAATAAAGTACTGCCCTCATCAAACTGTTTGAAACCAGTATCTCTTTTCTACAAGATCCAATGAAATTTACTCTATCAGTCACAGTAAAGTCCTTACAAAAGTGGAGTACTGAAGAGAGGTATTTTTTTTTTCTCAACCCTGAATTCTTTCACACTGTAATACTACTAGCAGTATAGTAATCCCTGCAAATTAGGGGGTGGAGTCTGTCTAATCCTCTCCAGGATTGGAGATTGCACATTTTGGAAACTCCGAATGTTTTTACCTTTCTCCTGAAATGAAGTGTGGACTTAACTCATCATCTACATCCATAGCATCCCATCGTTAGAGACACTAATAAGCTTCTGACTTGCACGCATTCAACACCACTGAGAAGCTGACTTCTCTTGCATCAGCTGGGGCGGCTGGAGAGTGACACACTAAATGGACAATGAGTGGGGTCCGCAGACGTACACCAAGAGTGAGATACCAACAAATTTCCCTTTCAGAGCCAACTAAAGCAAATGCACCACCGGGGCAACTGGAGAAAGGGCTCACTGAGGGCCTTTCAACACAAGGACAACCTCCTGACATATTTGCAAAAACATCCCTGCTGATCAACAAAACAGGAAACACAAAACACCTGTTCAGCATCCTGCTCTCTGAAAGCTGGAAGGAAATCCACAGTGACGAGTGTCATCAGGCACAGGCTCACACTGCCTGATGCACCTGACCTGCTCCTACCTCTAGCTGCTGTAATCAATTAATTTGCAGAGCATGCCCTGGCTGGGAGAAACAATTCCCCAAGGCTTCGGGCTGGATTCTGGGATTACCACAGCCCCTGCCTCACCGCTCTCGGGGCGCAGCAGAAGTTCGGTTCAGCTCCCGCCGCCAGCTCCTCGAGGGAGGACAAGTTCTCTGCACATCTTCTGCCTGCCATGGTGGGAGTGCCTGTGCTGCAAAGCCTGAAAACGTGACTTCTTCCCCCTCAGCTCTCACCTGGCTATGCAGGGTAGGAGCAGCATTCTTCTGCCCACTGCTCTCAAGTCTGTGGGGCACGGCATACAGCAGGGAAGTGAGAAGTTGCCTCATGCCCCACACTTGGGAACGTACTGCTGGCCATGATTTGGCCTACAGGTCTTTACAGATTAACAGATTGTATCTTAGAATATACCTGACAATAAAACAGGAGGGAATTCCAACCCCAGCTAATGAGTGACTGCCAAATGCTGCACCCACTTGCAGCCAAAACAGACCACAGCTGAACTACAAGAGGAGAAGGGCAGAAGCTGATGGGGTGATTCTTGCCAATACAAAGAGCAACATGCTGTGTGTCATGATGCACCTCTATTGCAGACAAGGTGCATCACCACAAAGCCCTGAATGCCGGACCTCCCATGCTCAGACTGATGTGTGCCAGGGCCAAAACCAAACGAGTTTCACTGCTGATAAGTAAGTGATTTCAGACCATTAGCTCAGGGGAGAATCTAGGACTCGTGTTCTACAGTAAATGGCTCCTTACCTGGCTCTGTTTTAGAAAAGAATGTGCACACTAGCAAGAAGAAATGAAAACACTGCAACCACAAACCAAGTGTGAGGATAAAACACTACAGTGTACAGTACCATATCCAGCACATGGCCACAGGAAAAACAGGGCATGAGTTCACACAAAATTGCAATATTACAATTTTACTGCAAGATGTTTACATCATCCTCATTCACTACGAGAGACACTCAAAGTGCAGCTGATCAGACAGAACGGAGCCCAAACTTCATCTTTTGCTCTGTGCTTCTTCATTCAGAGAACTTTTTGGTATGATTCCATAGAGTGAACATTCTCCATTTTCTTTGAACAAACTGTATTACACTTGTTTCTCATCAGTTTACAAAATCAGCTGAGAGTGAATGGGTTCAATTACAGTCCAGATTCCAGACCTCTTAAGAACTTACTGCCTAACACATTCCTTTCATTTAACAAACTGAAGCCAAATGAGGATTATATCATATAAAGAATACTCCCTCGACAGGACAATGCAATAAAATGGCAAAAATACTCAGAGGGTCAAATACAAGAACCTCTGATACTACCCACCAGATTTAACGCACGAACATCACATAAACTTAATCGTACAGTATTTTTACTCTGTATCATGAACAAGAAACTGATTCAGACGGTACTTAAGACCAAGTTTAATATATTCTGGCAGCCTCAGACGGCTAAGGAAAAAATGTGTTGCAGCAAAGTATGGATTTCCATATTTAAAAGATAATTTGATAGCTCTGCACAAGATACTAACCTCTCCCGCAAAATCCAAGATTTACAGTCTCCTAAGGGACTAAGAGTAAATATGACCAAGAGTAAGGGCTTTGCAAAGCTCTGAGTGAGGCATTTTCCCAAACTGACTTGTTCTTTCAGAAGGCAGAATTTTGGAACAACTTGAACTGATATGACGACCTTTAGGAACAACCACTTTTGCTAGAAAAATCATTCAGTCTTTCAGCTTGAGAAGTACATATGAGATCTACAGTCAGACATTTTTATACCTGCCTAAATGCATAAGTACCCCGGCAAGAAAAATATGATGAAAAGACTTAGATTTGGAGCTCGACAAGAAATTCAAACCTGAAGGCACAAAATTATACCTACAGTCAAATTATCCCCATTCACAAACAGCATTCTTGACACATTTTGAAGAAGCTGGGTAGAAAATAAAGAGGCAGAGGAACAACACTGCCAAGATGAGAGGTGACCATCAAATGAACAATTACCTGTGAGAAGATTATTTTTAGATTACTGAAGAATGGCTCAAGACAGTTTTGATGACAGCCTACGTAATTACAGCTTGTCTAATCCTAAAGCTGTATTGAACCTGACATGCAACTACAAATATACGACCGACCAGGTGAAGTTCAAATTTAAGACTCCAACTAAGAAACAGGATTTTATCTACTCAAACAGGTTTTCAGAAGACATGGCAATTTCTCTGCCAAGAAGAATCTTTAAATCAGTACAGTATTAGCCAAGTCTTTCCTCCTGGGCTTCTTCATACCTGTCCTCTATCTGCCCAGTAACACTCTCCACGTTAACCATGAGAGATATGGTGGTAACAAAACGCGCTGCTCTGAAGACACCTAACTGATGCAAAATGGGGCACTCGACAACTCCAGTGGACCACAGAACACATAAACGTGGTTAGAGATTTTCTGTGACATGATAGGGCTTTCAGAAAAAGCCAGTTTGTACATGTGATGCATCAAGAACCACATCATTTAACCAGAAAGTGGAGGTTTTTTCTTTAGCCAGTGTACAATGTAGCAAGACTTCAGTATATATAGGTATAGTTATATATAATTACATATCTGTATATGAACCTCATTAACTACAGCGCATACATTCATACATATATATATATAAATAAAACAAACTAGCCTTCCTGGCACTGCATATGCTTTATCTGAACTTCCCTTTAAGTTCAGCTGGAAAGTTCAAATGCAGTTTTGAATGGGTTACGTTCTAGTTATAAAACTGCATACATAAGAAATGATCTACCCTCCCCCCTTCTTTTAACAAAGAGGTAAAAGGAAATATCACCTAAAGCTACATTCTACCACTAGAATGAACAAGCATACTGAGCTGTCCATGAAGTTTGCAGTGTACCCTAGTTTTGACACAAAGAAAAGAAAAAAGAGGTTGAAGCATACACTAATTGAGACTTTTTCAACTCAGAATAGCCAGGACTAAGCACATGTACTGGATACAACAGTGACATTTCTTATTGCATATGACAACAATGATTTCAAAGGCTTATTTATGAGTCACTAATAAAATCCTAATATGTAGAAAGGACATAACATGCAAAGCAGACAAAATGTTATGTTCAATCCTGTTCGTAAATCTGTCACAAACAGCAACTGTCTGCTCATCCCTGTGACTTAGAAGTATAAAACCAGGATCTTTACCTCCCATCTCAGGTAAAGCCTAGCGATTTCAGTATCTCTGCCTCATTACTGACATCTGCTGTCCCACGAACGATAACACAAAACCTTCACCAGCCCACTTGTCCCCTCCAACCCTCTCTCTATAACACTTATCAGAATTTGACTGAATAGTGTTTGCAGTGATTTGCATTACAGAAAGCCACTCTCAGAAAATGCATTAACTCCTTTGTACTGGACACACCTTTTTGCCAGGAGACAGTAACTACGCATGACATTGCAGCTAGCCATTGAAAGTTCTTACCTTCTAACACGTGGGAAGAGCAGACTCCCATAATGATTCACATCACCAGCCCACTGAAATTTTTACCATCTTTTCCTGCCATATCACACCCTGCTTCAGTGATAAGCACGGTCCCAGACCTCAGTCAGACTGCAGTCTTTGCTGCACCGAGCCTCTTCAATTTGGCCTTCACCAACAGAAGTGCACAAACATCTCTCATACATGTCTCTCCAGACACTCAGGCACAGGATATATTTTAAGGAAAACATATTCTTCAGTGAAAAAGCTCACTGATTATATTTCTCATTAGTCTCAGGTAACGCCAGATCTTATTTGCCACCAGAAGACCTCTGCAGGCAGCCCACTTTCAAAGAAAAGCATCCTCCCCTGGACTCCGTGGAGAGCGGGCAAAGCTAGAGATGTTCTGACTGCAGCTATGTGTCCTGTGGCATCTCCAGAAATGTGTTCTTACTGATGAAAGCATGCCACTATTTACAGACTCCTCAGGGTAATGAGAGATGCAGAGACAGGTGATGGTTGTAATGTCCTGGTTAAGTTTTATGCTCAGGACTAAATAAACCTGACAGGGAACCTTCTTAAAGCTGTTCTCCACAACTAATTCTGATCCATGGTGATGCCTTTCAGCGAAAAACACCTTCATAAGCTATCTTGCTACTCAAAAACACTTAAATCTTTCTCTAGATATTGCTTAAATGCAAACAAATAAATAAAGTCAAGATAAATACCTCAGATCAGTGTTCCGAGGGAAAAGTCTTTTCTTCCCACTGAAGCAGACTTCAAAATCATCTGTTGTCAGTCTCTGTGCATAGTCAATGTATGCAGACACCTCCTAGCGATGAGAACTTTGGTCACAAATGAAGATTATGGACTGGAAAACACAAAGGCAAATTTCATTCGTACAAATGAAGAATAGAAACATACATATGCACACAGATCTCTGTATAAAAACATATTTAGAGAGTATATAAACATTTTCAACTTCACCTGGTCCAAGCTTCTGTTAGGAGTTAAGACACTTAAATTATGGCAAATTCTTAACACATGCTTGGCAGCATTGCAGTAAAAATAAATATAAAAGCAGCATCACATAACGTGCCCTCACATATTCCCCATGTCTCCTACTGCCACTTCGGAAGGGTTTTCCCACAGGTCCCAGGCTGTACCTGCCAGCCCCATGCGCACAACCCTAAAGCAGTCTAGTGCTGTTGGACACCTATTTTTAAACAAGGGTGGTTTTGTCTGGCCACTCTGCAATGATACTATCCATGCACTAATTACTGGACCAAAGTAGGAAGGGTGAGAATGTTATTTGGGATGCACCCCTACAGCCAAAGCAAAACTTATTCAACTTCATATTTACAGTAGATTTTTAGCTTTTCAGAAAGATGACCAACTGGAAACTGGTTACCATATACCTCTCTACTCTGTGCTATGACCAGAGAACAGAGCAGACTTTGCCAGCTCTCTCTCTTGCAAGACAACCCCCGTACTGTTTCATTCCCAACAGCTAATGAGTTGCAGAGCAAAAATCTGATAATTTAAATACAAAAAAACAAACAGCAAAACAAAATCTGTGCCTAGAAATAAAGCTGACTAAATAAAGCAGGGTAGCTACAAGTATGAGGACGTATTACCCATTTAGCTGCTGTACCTCCATGTGTCAGAGCTGAGTTGAAGTGGGTATTGAGGCACTTGGAGCACAGCAACACATTCAGCAGCAATTCTGGCTGCAAGAGATTACTTTCTGCCTTAGGGCTGTAACATTTGGAAGAACATCTCTGCTGCTGCTGAGATGCATGTCAAAGACAAAGGTGCTGATGGGATGGCTTTCTATAGCACTTGTTGCTGGGAAACCCTGTTTCCCATTTACTCTCTAGTCCCTCATCTTTTATTTGCTTTATTTTCCAACTGAACAGAGAATAGGTTGGTAGCAGACAATTCTTTTTGACACACTACCACAACACGGCAAGCAAAAAGACCTGGCAGGATGAGTGCAGACTTGCAAGACAGAAGGGTTCTTGCATTCTGGGATCCACATAAGAAAAATGAAACGCTGAGCTTAGAGGTTATTGGGTAGGTGAGGTATAACAGTATTTGTTAGCTGTACGTGTTTGTTTGTACTCAACTGAAATCAAGTGATATTTCTTTTTTGAATGCAGAGGAAATGGAAACAATACCACATGGAACTCTTTCAAAACAATTTTTTTTTATTTTAACAGCAGCATATTTCTAGAGTGCAATGGTTTAGCTGGCAAGCCTTTGTTATACTTAAGACATGTTTCTTTTTCCCATTTCACATTTAACTCCATCAAAATATGTGCTGCTCATTTTGCAATTTTGTACCATCAACACTGTTGACAGGAAGAGCCAGATGAATTGCCTGCAATACATCTGACCATCTCAAAATACACGTCTCCTCCCTATCCTCAGCACCCCCCATTTTGAACAACTGATTTCTGTGTCTGGAGAGCCAGGTCTGGGGCAATGAGAAAAACAAGACTGTCCCTCACACACAGCAAGGCAACTGTACACTGCACCCATGCTTAGATACAAGACTAGTTGTATATCATGCATGAAAAAGATTCATCATTCTTCAGAAAAACTAGTTTTAAATGAACCTTGACTTATGCAGTAGGATCTAATAATTTTAAAAAGCTGGCACATGTTACAGTATTATTTACAATGTTAAACGGAGGGCTACCTTTCAAGGCTCTTCTGCTTATAAAATTAATCTCCTAAAATAATGTTCATATATTATCAGCTATAAATCAACACAGAACTACGGGCAAGCAAAGAGACTACCATCAAAACTGCTTTATGACTCTTAAGAACGCAAACGGAATATCTAAACAAAAATGTTCTATGTTAAAGGTACGCTTTTGAGGCCTCCTCCTCAAAACTCAAGGCCTTTGATCCTTCTCATCTGTCAACATTGCTTCTCTTCTTTTCTCATCTGTGATTCATTTCTAACCACCTATAAGCATCCATTCATTAAACTATGAATCAGCTTGAATTTTCTTCAGTTATTCTAAACTTTTTAATTGTGTCACACCTTTTTGCCCCTGGGAAGACTTGAACAAATTTGCACTCTTTTTCCTAAAATGATAAAGCTCCTGACTGAAAAGTAACTGAAAGAGAGAATAAAAATACCGTAAAACCCACAAACAGGATAACCTCCTAAAAGTCTCTTCGTTATTCTTCCGATTCGGCTCTAACACAACAAACCCCATTAAGCACAGAGTTTGTACTTGACATCCATCCACACGTTTTCAGGAACTTATTATATGGTGAAAGGTGAAAAAGTTTAAATTTAAGATGGTGTTTGAAAGGTACATATAGCTTTTGAGCCTAAAACCAGAACCTACTTACAAGTGGGGTAAACTGACTTATAATTACAACAACTTGGAGCAAATTAGAACAGAACAGAACATAATAGTTCATTTGGAAGGGACCTACAATGACCATCTAGCAACACAGAGATCCTGTTCCCTCTTTTCTGGTCACACGCTAGAGAAGGGAGATGCAATATTTATAGGGGATAAATAGAAATCTCTCCATATATTTACATTTATTTATTTACTTAAATAGAAATCTCTCCATGGGGGAGAGGCTGAGGCAGTGGATAAAATTCAAGATCAGGAAACTGTCATGTGGAACCCTAAATTTCCCTGCTTATCTTTCTTGCTTCCACCTCCAGTGATCTGTTCTTACAGTAGACAAATACTGTGGGATGCCAATGCTCTGATTATTCCAAAACCATCCACATCTCCTGCTTCCTAGAGACAAAAGCAGAACATTTACAAGGAGCTGACTTGGCTATGCCAAATACAGGGGCACCTTCTTCAGGAGTGTATGTATGTGATCCTTGGAACAGACTAATACCACCCTGCCATACTTCAAGCCAGATTAAAGAAACCCAACAAACCACTGCGAATAACCAATTTATCCAGACATTTACTGATCTTCTTAACTACATGGAATATTTGTACAATCCTATTGCCATCAGTGTTTGCCTTGTAATGCACAGCCCTACCAGAGCATTCTGATAAGTGTGTTTCTCCCACCCAGCAATCACCAAAATCAACTAAAAATTTGCACTGACTTCCCCCAGCCCACAATTAGGTCCTATGCTATCAGTTAGAAACATTGCAAGTAGGCCAGTTAGATGAGGACAAACCTGGAAAGAAGATCAGCTTCTGAGTTCTTCCAGCACAGGTAGAAACTTCAAGCACTAAGGGGTTTGATTGAGAGTTCAAACTACAAAACTTTTACAAGTTGTACATTATGGTACACACTGCTTGCTATAAATCCGTATATTGCCAAATACTGTATGTACCTGGTGGGCCTTGTTCATGGCACTCACCCAATCCACCAGAAAGATCCACTCCAGCCTCCTGTACACACTTCTGATTTGAATAGCAACCTGAGGGCTGCTTCATCCAGCTCATTCAAAGCAGTGAAACAATAGTGTGTGATTTTTGTGTCATGCTCCAAATCCACGAAAGAAAAGAAGGAAAGCCAGAAAAGCTGTTCACAGGCAGGAAAAACACAAACACAACTTTCCTTTGGGTATCATTTACAAACACTGCAGACTCGATTCTCGCCTATATTAATGCCATTATATACAGCTGAGGGAGTATAGAAGGATTTCAGAAGAGGTACAAATTACATTTACCTCCTGCTTCCAGCTTCCTTATACGTCGCTAGCTTTAGGCTGGGTAAGAGTCTGGGCCATAACTGGACTGATTTGGGTATTGGGTTTTCCTGTTTTTTGAAGCATGTTCAAGCTATGCTTCAAAAGCTACTAAAATCACCTGCTTAAAAGGTAGGACTGTGTAACCATGAAGGCCTTCCACCTTTATCTTTAAAGGAAACAAACAATTCTGTGCACAATTTCCACACAACATCCAAGAAAATATTGTCTGTGTCGGGGTCTAGTTCCATTTGTGAATTTTTAAGTTGTTAAGAAAAAAACCAAACACCACCTGCCAATGATTCACTCCTGTATGTTACTTCATACATTGAATCATGTTTCTCAAAACTGGTTTTGATTCCCAACAAGACCTTACCACAGACACCTAAATGCCACGACTTGCCCATCGTTTGGGGTATATTTGTGTGCATTGTGAGACAGGTTCAAGGTTCATCAAAGACAGAAGACCTGATTCCACTGACACCAGTGAGCGCTGATCAGACTTGCCAGGTTGGAGGAGAATTTGTTTGCATTTTTTCCTGTTTTGTTATCATTACTAGAAAGAAGTACATTCCTCACATTAAGCTAAATCTGTCTCTTTGAAATATTCCACTCCTGAAGGATCATTTCTCTCTGGCTAGAGCACTAGGGTGGAACCAAGCGACATGCCAAACACATCACTCCTCCTCGCCCCACTCTTGTCTTGGAGGAACTGGTATGAGTATCTGCCCTCCATTGCCTACTATGGGGTTAGTCCAACCTGTGGTCTCAGTGTGCTGCTGAGTAATGCTGCTTGTGAAAGAAGAGCTATTGATACAGATAAGCCTTCAGCGAAAGACCTCAAATTTCTGATAATTCCCACATACCAGAAGGCTGTCTTCATTTTTGCATAAGATGATGCTGCAAATGAGCTCTGCAGAGCCCAGACCTTTTTTCGATGCAAGCAAAGCGTACAACAAGGGCTGATACTGCTGGTAAGATCAATTAATATCCCTAGCAGGGGCAAAAACAACAGGTACTTCTTTTGGGAGATTAAAAGCTATGAGTGCCAACTATCTTACAAAAACTTCTAGCTTTCCCAAAACCCTTGCATTTCCTGTATTCTTAGAGCAGAACCTTCCTACTCTGAAAGAAAACATTTTAATACATGCTTTTCTTTCAGCGCCTCCTCAGCA